TTGGCCTCCCTTCAGGGGCGTAGTACATGATAAATGTCGACGAATTCGTCAATGTCAAAATCAGACTGTTACAAAGCAGCAACGGCTACAGTCCACAATGTTGCAAAGAAGGGAACGGAATGGGTCGAGAACGGGAAGGAATCGGGAACAGGAGCGGCAACGGGAGCGTAAAATGAGAACGCGTCCAGGATGCGAGCAGGAGCATCCCAAATAACAATAACCAGAGAGAGAGAGAGAGACGCTTCACATGACCGGCCTGTACCGAATCCCATTTCAATACGAACCAATATTCACTTCATATTTTGAGCGATATTTACCCCGGTTCCGGGTCTGCAATTTTGGCCAAAAACCAATCCAGAGACAATTCCGTGTGCAGTCCATGCAAATGCAAAATCATCGAGCGGAAATTATGTTGACTAATTGCGTAGCATTAATTCTGCTCCTGGCCTCATTCCTTGCTCAAGGAATATGAGTCGATGTGTGTGAGCAAAGGCACTGGCTAGAATTGAATTTGATATGCTCCATTGGCACCTTCCACACACACACACACACACGCACGCAGCCAGCAGCTCCTTCCTGCCTGACTCCGGGATAAAGTAATTAAATAAGTCGGTGGGTGCTGCTGCAGCAGTTTATTCTATTAGTGGCTCAAATTCGATCTGCCAAAAGGTGGCAGAAGAGCGGCAGTGCCAGTGGATTATCGAGGATAAAAAGGGGGTAGAAGATGTTGCAAGATGTTGGCTTTTAATCACTTTTACTTAAAGCCGAAAGATTTAATGTTGCACTTGCATTATAGCCACAGCTTTAGCTACTTGTAAATATTTTATTTGTCTTCAAAATAATACAATAAAAGCACTTTAAAGGTTTATCTACATTAAACAAATACCAATCTCAAATAAGCACAAAAAAGTATGACAATTTGATCGTAGACAGAGAGCCCCAGCAAAAAACGAACAAAATACATACGAGTGTCCTGTGTGTCCTGTCCATTGGTGAGTATTTTGACAAATGGCCCGATTGGACATTGAAACATTTTATCTGCCATGTCGTCGATGGGGCCAATGGGCGTGGGACGGCATGTGGCATGTGGCATGGGGGTGGTGGGCCCTGGGCTATGCGTTGGGTCAGTGCGTGGCATTTTGGTCATTTATATGGACACTCGTCCTTTTTCACAGCCAGTTGGTGTCGCTCCCTCTCTCTTGCTCTCCCTCACTCGCTCCTTCTCTGTCTCTTTCCGCACACATGTGTGTGAGGGGCAACAGCCCCACATCCGTAGCGAACCAGAACCCAACCAGAAGGGCCTCCGCCTTCGGGAGCACATCATGGCGAATGACAGATTAGCAAAGTCCCAATGGACATTTGTAACCGAACTGCAGAATGCCGGCCCCACTCGAACTGGCAGCCCATGTGGGCGGTCAGAGCAGCTCGAGGGTTGGATTCGAGTGTAATTTAAATGGCCTGTCCTGTCCGGCTACCAGAACGCAGCATTTTTGACCGCTGCCCACCTTCGGGTGGGTGTGCGGATGGGAGGAAGTCCCTGGAGACGAGACGCCGCTCGCCTGGACGCTTCTTATCGGCCGTGATTACTTTCTAATCCGTGGCAGCATCAGGAGCGGTCCACGCGTTGACACAAACAAATGACCAACAGGCAGGACAGGGCAGGAGTCTGTAGCTTGGAGCAGGCGCAGGAGCCGGAGCCGGAGCCGGAGTCGGAATGACAGGGCACATCAAACGGGTCAGAGTGAAAGGTATTAATTGCTATCGCCATCGACCAGGTAGGCTGGACCAGCACTAGTCCATCCTCTCTGTGGTGGGTGAGAGTGTTTTTAATGTGAAAGCAATTTCAGCAAATCCCTCGTCAAACGAAAAAGCCGCTCAGGCAGGTCCTGCTGCTGGCAGGTACTCTTCGTCCTAGTCGTACATGTGGAAATTCTTTAGTTATTATGACCAAAGTGGCCATAATTATTTTGATGTTGCTTCGTAATTAGTGTTCGATCAGCCACCACCCCGGGCGTCGAAATGGAGAGTGAATGAAGAGCGGGGAAGTTGGAAAATGGGAAAAGGGAAAGTGAAAAATGGCATTTCATGCGTGGCTGCCTCAACAGGGGAAATTACGCACTTACACTCGTACTTTGGGCTGTTGTTAATCGAAAAGTGAAATTCGTTTGGGAGAAACTAATTGCAGTCATTCGCTGCAATGCAACAAAATGGCCTGCCACCAAATGGATTGGACAACGGGAGGGAGTGGCAACAAATTACAATATGCTGCAGATGATCTATGTGGCAACAGGAGATACATTTACAGGCGGTGCCAATGGGGCTTTCGTTTCAAATTACAATCAGCTCGAGATGATTCTTTTAAGCTTCATAATCACCTCAAACTCTCGTACATTTCCATATTTTAGCAACTTAAATGTCTCTCAAGGCTGCAGGGTATCGTTTCCACGGCCACTCTGATCTTTTGCCATTTGAATGCGTAACTCTGTCGGCATTTGAATAATGGCCGCAACTCCCGTTGACGAGCACAACAAATTTCATTGCATCGTCTCATACTATCAATGTCGGCAATATGTCAAATATAACAGCAGCAGCCGTGGCAGCCGTGGCAGCAGCGGCAGCCATTGGGTGCACAGGGGGGCATGTGGCAGACAACGGGAGTGGCTGCAGAAGCTGCCTCAAAACGTTGCACCAGGCACCGGCAGAGGCGCATAAAAATTCATTTTGAAAACTTCTCCCCCCTGTGTGTACGCCTGCCCCGATGGCGCTCCCGCATGTGAAGCAGAAATTAATAATGACGCGAACAGCGACGACGGCGCGACGAGGCTATATAGCTATATATCTAGATGCTGTCGGGTGGGCAGAGGCATCATCCAGCCAGAGATGACAACGTGTTGGGAGTCTGGAGCCAGACCAGAGATGACTGGCAATACTCCCGTGACAAGTTCGTGCCACGCTGCCATCTGCGGCCTTGGTTGCCATTGCAATTGCAGACATCAAAGACAGACCCCAACGCGTTTTGCCTTTCGCCATTGGCTTGTTTGAGTGACAGATCGTTCTGCTGGCAGCTTTGAAGTGGAACTGAACCCCTGACATGTCTGAGGCAACCGTTTAAGATATAATTAACTCGGAATTGGCAAGGCATAAATGTCGCATCGAAAGACTTTCAATATTCAAAATAAAACAAATGACAAACACACTTTCCCAATATGTAAGAATTGTGTTAACAGCAAAAAACTAATGACAGATGAATCAAAAAACTTTGTCCACTGACAAACCACTCAACTCATTGACATTGAAAAGAAACAAAGAGCCAGAGCCCAGAGCCCAGAGAGCCACACACAAATTAGATTAATTTGGGCAATTTGAAGTTTCGTTGTAATGAGTTTTGTCGGTCGGTCACTCATTTAGACCTCTGCCCAGCTCTGACATTTTTCGTTCATATCATTTCACTTTGTTGTCTTAATTTCGAGGGTCTGTCGGCCACTTCTTTTCCTCCATTATTATTGACATTTGTGTCCGAGTGTGTGTGTGTGGGGCCCATAAAGGAAAACTCAACTCAAACACAAATTTTTATTCAGCTTAGAATTATAATATTCTCTTCCCCTTGTTCTGTTTTGGTTGCTTTATTTATTTGACTGCCCGAAATGTTGAAGTTGCCCATTTTTTGAGTGCCAGTGCTCCGAGGCGACATCAGTTCCGCATTCACAGATTCCGACTCCGTTGCAGTTGCATCTCCCCGAAGATCCCATGCCATACAAGAAGGGGCGGGTGGGGGTGAGCATGTTTCTTATTATTTTTCGCTGATTAATCGATTGTCGGCTGCGTGTCGCTGGCTCTCCCTGCCGCCATATGTCATCCCCAGTGCGCTGCAGCGTGATTCAGACACTTGTCACTGGAAAAATGTAAACACGAAATGCATTTATGTAGAAAAGAAATGTAAAAAAACGTATCTGAGCAAAATGCAAATATCTCGCATTCAGCAGTAGTCTGTGTGTGTGTGTGTGGGAGAGGGGAGGCGGGTGGCTGCAAATAAAAAATTGTTTGACATGGAGCGTTTCAGTTGAGAGACACCCGCTCGGATTTGGAGAGCCATTGCATAACAGTATGTTGAATATTTTAAACTTTTGGCTGTGCTGCAGAAACGATTGCAAATTATGCTTCTTGAGTGTAACTAATGGATGATGGTGTCTAAGTAACACGAAAGTACCTAGAGGAAACGACTGCTTCCGAAGCTCCTAAAATTGGATCTAATTTACATAAATAATTCTGGAAACTATGACAAAAAATAGAACTTTAAACATTTGCAAATTATTTAAAATATATCAAAAGTTTTCTTAGTTCCCATCTTTTTCCATTAGACTTTACTTTTCGTGGCTCCTGTACTCGTGGTTGCTGCACGCGCCGGTCCATGGGCCCGAGGCCAAAAGCTTCAAATTGGAAAATGAAAGCGAAATCTTGCGCAATTCCCAAATGCTACATTTTTAGTGAAAAAGTCGAGGCTGGGACCACGGGCATGGCACAACCACACGACGAGTCAGCTCAGCGCCATCATCCCAGCTCGGATTGGGTTGCCGTTGCCTCTGCCCCTGCCCCTGCCTCTGCCTCTGCCTTGCGCATTGTTTTCCCAGTGCTGCCCTTGCCCGTGTCTCGGGCTCAGGCTGTTTCCCTGCGGGCTGTGCTGCTCCGTTCCCCCCCTTGGTTTCAGATCCCGGCTGCTGCTGCTGCTGCTGCTGCTGCTGGCTCGGTCTGTGCTGCTTTTGATGATGATGGCATTTCCTTTGGTAGTTGCGTACGTCATAGATTAATGACAGCAATTCATCAAAATCACTCGATGGACATGACGAACAGCCGAAAATTCAGGAGAAGAAACCGAGGCCAGCAGTCCCTAAAGAGAGCAACAGAGAGAGCAGCAACTTTTTTGTTCTCTATTTATTTCTGCCTTGTGAACATTTTTTTGCGTTGCAGCTTCTGGAGTTTTGCTGTGAAATTTTATCAGCAACCACCACAAAAAATAAATGAAGAGTAAGCCAATATTGCGGGATTACTTAAAGCCATCTGTGCTGAAGAAGTGGGGATATCGGAGAGGAAACACTGTCTGGATACTTTTGCTATCGGCTCAGATTCAGGGGCGTCAAAGTGCATCGCATCGACGTGTCGTGCTGCAGACTCAATGATTAATCAATTGCCGGAAGAGATGGCAACTCACGGCAAGGTCCAATGACAGCGTTTCTATGAATAGAAAAGAAGAACTCTTCACATACTTACACTTACACTTACACTTACACTTACACTTACCAACCAGATCGTTTGCCATACCACTTAGCATGAATCCGGCATTAGTGTGGATGCCACTTGAGCTGTGGGCAGGGGCATGCATGCCACGTTCAATTAACAACAAAAGTGTGACTGTGACACATCCTCGGGGCACGGCACACAGTGCCACACACACCTCTTCGTCTGCATCTTTGAGTTTTTATTCAAAACTCTTGTCTGCCGCTCGACGGACGGACAGCATTATCGGCAATTGATTAATATCCATTGTCTCACAGCCCCCTCACGAGCATTCCCAAAGTATATGTTCGTGTTCTCCGATCTCCGATCTCCGATCTCCAACTCCCCTTTACTCTCTCTTTGGGCGAAGATCTTATTCTGAATTGTGTATTTTGTCTTGTTCTTTGAGAGGTTTCGGTTTCAGTTTCGATTGTTTCCTGAGCATATTCCTGAAAATAAATGAGAGAGATTTGTGTTAAAAATTTCAATATTTTTCAACTATTTTTAGTAGCTGCGAATTAATCAAACGAATATTTCCCTGACAAGGGATTTCTGCCTGTTGTGTAATGCAATCCTTTGAGTACAATATAATTGTTTTTTAAGTACCGCACAAATTACTTAATCACGTTTCGCTGTAGCTCTGAAAAAAGCCCTGGGCCTAAGACTCGAGACTCCGCCTGAGATTCCCACTTCCTGGGGGACGGCTGACTGGGGTCCTGGTCCTGGCGATTATTCGTCTTTTTTGTTTGATAAATGTTTTTATCACCGCATCGAGTTCATTCATTGCCGGCAGCGCTTAATCTGAATGCCATCGTCAACTGATGGCAGCGCATTAGTTTGCCACGGGCCACGGGAGATTGGGGTTGGGGTTGGGGCTGGGCTTCGCTAGCGGAAGTTTCATTACAGTTTGTCCTGGAAGGAAATGAAACGAATGCCTGCCCGGAACAGCCCCCGTCCCGTGTCCACGTTGGAGGCGCTGAAATCGATGCGTATCTTGAAGGATGATTTGCGGCGTGCGAGGAGCGGAGCCCGACGCAACCGACGAAACTTTCAGTTGAAACTTTTTGAAAACCATAAAATAATTAACACTTGATTATTATTCGGGGAGCTCTCTCCACGCTCTCTGTCTGTCTCTGTGTCCAAAGTTTTGTACAACTTTGCTTAAGTGTCAACATGGGTGACATCGATTTAATTACCTCCCCGCCCCAGCCGAAACTTTCGCCAAAAATAAAAAAAAACAATTTCGTTGCAATCTAAAAACCGATTTAGACTTTTGTCGCTGTCAGCAGCAAGTGGGGATTGTGCAGCGATGGAAGATGCAAAATTGTTGCAGTGGAATGGAATGGAATGGAATGGAATGCAAATCTCAATTTATCAAATTTCAACACTCTTAATGGCGCTTCCCCTTGCCGCTCCCTGCTGTAGCGCCTTTGTTCTTTCTAATAAACTTAAGTGCAAGTTGCATGCCCCAACGACAAAGGGAAGTGGAAGCCAAGACAAAAGACAAAGCAACAAGAATAAAAAATTAACGTCAAACAAAAGAAAATCCACCATTATTATGTGCCACGCACACACACAAATGGAAATAAAGGAAAGGAAAGCGGTCGACTTCGATGGGGGGTTTGAAAAGTTCTGGAAGAGAGGTGACAATGGAAGAGAAGCAGAGTAGAGTAAAATAGTTGTGGATACTTTTACAGTCCTTCAGAATCGATTTCGTAACTGAAACCCTTAATCTTTCTTCCATTATACTCCCATTTATATACGAACAGATGCCTCCCAGACTCCCCTTTCAATAAGAGCTTTTCCTTTTCGAATACTGGCTTCAACTCAACCATATGAACCACTTATAATTCCTAACTTTGTGTGCAGATCACCACAATTTTGCATTATGCAGAATTCTCACAACTCTTTGTACCACCCAGGGGCCAGGACAAAGCGTGAAAAATTCAGCTTTTCATCCCCGCCAGGGAAATTCTTTTCGGGCAACCATAGTTCTTCTGTGTTCTTGCTTCTTTTTGGCTGCGGAGAAACAAGGGTGACATGATGGACAGACGTCGACGTTTTTCATCAGCGCTCGTCATCTTGTGTCATCGTCAGACCGGGACCGGGACCGGGACCGGGACTGGGACTTCGACTTTGACTTCGACTCTGAGCCATGCCTTGCCACGCCACGCCACGCACAATTGTGCGTATGGCTGCCTTTTCCCCTGGCCGCCATTCTTTCTTTCTGTGGCACTGTGGCAGTGGCAGTGGCAGTGGTGGTGTGGTGCCTGAGTGGTTGTTGCTCCGAGGGCTGCCATGGTGGTGGTGGTGGTGGTGGTGGTGGAAGTTGTGCGTATTTTTGTGTCACATTCCAATCTATATCAATCTTGTGTTCGCAATGACGGATGACATTTGTCAATGTCAGACATTTTCGTTTTCCATTTGAGCCTCTAATGGCAGACAGGCAGGAGCACACACACACAGGAAGCAGGATGGCAGGACTACAGCACAGGGCATGGCACACAGGAGCACAGGGTCCCTGGGCCAGCCTTAAAGTCAGCCTTGCCACTTGCTAAACTCAGAACAGGGCCCACTCCCACGCCTCCCCTTCGAGGACGCATGAGTTTGACGAATCTGATGTCAAATATTTTCCTTGTTTCCCTCATTTTTTTATGAAAAGCATTTGCTGGGAATTAGAATTGGCTTTCTCCCCTCAGGAGCATAGCTTTTCGGGGTGGCAGCTAACTTCCCCCCTCTGCAGCGTGTTGGGTTGGTGTTTGCCAGGAATCTGTGTGGCAGGAATCAGTAAATGTGTTTGCACTAAGTGTTTTCGATTCACAAATATTTGCATTCCTGTCGGGGTCTCAGCACTGCTATGATTTGGGGAAAGTCTGGGGGTTCCAGGGAGTGTTATTAGCTTGTATTTTGATAGATGGGAGAGTCACTTACTATTGCAGGAAAAATACTCCTTCACATTGACCCATCAACCCATGAACTCATGCGACTGATCCCTCCTCCAGCGTTTATCCAACCCGAAATCTATATTACACATCACCTCTTGGAGCGGGATTGAGTAATCATTAATCACTCAATGCTAAATGTTTAATTCCGCAGACGGGCTCCATGTCAAAACAAACACTCGACATCATTCAACATTAAGTAATGATAAGACCAGAAACCTGCGTGTTTCCCTGACCACTTCGAACGCCGGACTGTGGAATATGACGAAGGACTGAAACAATGATCAGCAGCTCAAAGGGAAGAGGAGGACTCGAGAGTAAACAGGAACCACCCGCAAATCAACGGCAAGAGGCGACAAACAGAAAACTGTCCAAACCGAAAACAGAACCAAAACCATAACCAGAACTGAAAAAGAGCCGCCGTTTTGTTGAACATCATTAATAACAAAATACAACGACGAGCCAAAGGAGAGACTGGGAATCGTTTTGGGATTAATGAATACTCACGAGAAGGAGAGAGAGAGAGGTGCCCCCGCCAAAGATGTGCTAAACGCACGTCCAGCCCAAGTCCAAGGATCCTGCTGCTGCTGCTCGAGGCGGAAATTAATGAACTTTTGTTGAAACGCATGCCCCGAAATTCAAACCCAAACACACAAACACACAAACATGGAAATAATGAAAACAAAGCAACCAAAATGCATAAACAATTGAGTAAGTGTGATGATTGGGAGGCATTTCCCCATTCCCCCCAAAATCGAAGCTGGAACCACATAGTCTGCCTTGTTGGAGACTTTGTGTATCCTTTGACAGCATTTTAGTAGACTTGATGTCGACGTGGCCTCTTGCTAGATCGATTCGAATGGGCAGGGCGAAGAGACTTTGATGATTGATGAAGCCCAAAGGTGAATTTCACACCCAGCGGATATCGCACCGCACACAAATCGAATTAAAGAGACACAGCCCCAAAACGATTGTAAATTAATTGTTCCAACAAATTCTGATAAATGATTCACGCAGTAATGCAAATTTAGACTCGAATAAAACACAGACTCGGGGACTCTTAGACTTTTCTCTTTGTGTAGTTTCGGATGTGTTGCTCTCCGCTAAAAATAGATCCACACGTGATAAATGATGTGCCGAAGAACGGCTTCAAGTGACGGTGGCAATTATGCGAGGAGCCAACTGAGGCCCAAATGACAGGTCGATTGAGTTAACGTTAACGCTAAACGCTAACGCCTGCTGCAAAGGGAGGATGGGGACTCGGATTGGGACTGGGATTGGGATTGGGAGGAGTTGCTGCACCACCACCAGCTACCAGCTAATTTTAGTGGCTATTTCTGTAGGAGCTTGTAGACCGCCGATCGGCGAACGATCGATCGCCAATCATTAATAATCCATTGGAACAAGCTCTGCCGAGCAGCAGCACCAGCAGCAGACCAGCTCTTAGGTCTTTTAGGTCTTTTAGGTCTTTTGTGGAGCGGAGCACGAGTGTGCCAGGGCCAAACAGGTGTGCCTTGATGGGGTCTCCTCTCCTGCTGCTACGCTCATCAGCTCGGGCATCCAGCCATCCAGCCATCCAGCCAGCCGTCTCTGTCTCTTGCTGTGTCTCTGGGGCTTTCAGAGAAAATCGATCATCGTCACGCCGCTGCCAGAGTCGATTAAAGTGAGCGAATTTTCATTACCAGAATTCATTTAATTTTTTTTGTTCGTTGAGAAAAGTTATAATTAAATATCCCGTTGATTGGGTTGAAGGAATTCAGTACAAAAAATATACGTCCAGACCACACAGAAAATTGGTAATAGAAATTGTTAATAGAAGGGGCAGAAAATGATGTCTAAAGTTAATGGAAACTGAAACTAAAACTTACAGGAGCAGGAGACAGGAGCCACCGATTGTGTCAAGAGTGAAATGGAAACTGATCTACGGCTGTACGGCCGCACATTTCCATTCGCATCTGTCGCTGACTTGGTCTCTGATGCCATAAATCACTCACACACAAAAGGATAAAGTCAAAACACAAAACAAACAGACACCCATCCATCGCATCCATCGAGTCCATGTCCCTGTCCATCCATCGCATCCATCGCATCCTTCCACCCACGCGGCGAAAGGATGTGTGCGTATGCAGAGTGAAGTTTTATGACGGTCATTGCCTGGCGATTGACATTTTGAAGGACATCGACTACCTACGGAGCAAGGATTACAAAGGATTGCCGAACAATTGTATGGCCAATATTTGCATATCAATTCGATACGCCATTCCGAGCATGTCAAGGACATTCCTACTGCTCAACACACACAATGGACAACGCAAAAGTCCTGGGTGAAAAGTCAACAGAGAAAGGGCAAGGGGAAGGGTGTCTTTCAGCATTGTTCTGCTGCAATTGAAGGCCATGTGTTGAATACCTTCGAGTTAAGGGGAAATTGTCAATGCCTGACTCCTCTTCAAAAATGCAACTGGATGGATGGGAACGAGAGGCTCTTGGCCTTCGTGCCGCATGAAATGGTTGCACATTTGCATAATTATTGTAATTATCAATAAATATTCATTAGTGTGAGGCAGATGCTTAAATTTAATTCGCTTTTAATTAGCCCCATAATAATTACACTCTCAACCAGCCAGCAGCAAGCAGCAAGCAGCAACAAGTTGCCCGCATTGTACGAGGATGGGGTCATAATGGATACTTTTTGATAGCTAATGGGGAGAGAGGTGTATGCCATCATACTTTGTACTCATTGCGCTGATAATTTGTTTAATAAAATACTTATACTTTATTGAATATTTATACTGAAAGAGTCAGAGCTCTACAGAGTTCTTCAAACATGAAAAATCGATTTCAAAATGCTATCTCTGCAGACCAGTAGCCTTTGTTTTAGGCCACCAACTTACTGCATTTGAAATGACCAAACGACCAAAACTTAACCTTTATTTAAATCATTTCTTACCCCGAAAATGTTGTAATTAAAATGGAAACAGTAGTGGGGGGGAGAACCCTAGGCGAGGGAGCCCCAGAACCAGCCATTGACCTCAGGCAGCTGAGATGGAAAACAGGTTTTTCCGAATCATTTGTGACCCGTATAGGGTGGGAGAATGCAGGCGATAAATATTCTACCTGTCAATGGATGAGTATGAGCGCTACCTTAATGGCATCCGAGAGATAAACCGACATTTGCCGCTGCTGCTGCTGCTGCTGCCTTTTGATTGTGCATTGGGTGCCGGTGGAAAGACCTTTCTTTCCCTTTCCAAAATGGTCGGTCGATGGACGCTGACCAGAAAAGAAAGGCGAACAAAAGCCAACAAATTCAATTCAGTTCAATGGTTTTTTCATACACATTTTGGCTCGGCTTCACTTAAAACGCCGTTTTCTATAATAACATGAATTATTTAGCGAAAAAAATAAAAATTACTCGATGAGTGCTGGAGCAGGAGAACGGAGAGAGAGAGAGAGCTCCCAAAAACACGCACTAAATGGGGCACAGGAAGTGTTTGTTGTTTGTTGTTCGTGTGTGAGTGGAGCAGTCTGGGGGTAATGGCTGTGTCAACAGGGTGGCCCCTGGCCAGTCGCTGGTGGCTCCAGGCTGCGGACCTGGCAATGAAGTCATTAAAATTTCACCCTTATTATGGCTTTTAAAGTGATTGCAAAATGAGTAGCAGCAGCAGCAGCAGCAGGATAGGGTATGAAATGTCTTCATTAAGCATGCATCAAATTTACGATTAAGTAAAAAGTGCACGCACATTTTCCTTGTGAAATAATCAAGCCAACTCCTCTCTCGTGCTCTCTCTCTCTCTCTCTTTCTCTTTATGTGGAAGGTGCAATGAAGCAATTTCCTGTAATTGCCACCATTCTTGTTAATCACACTCCACATGTGGAGGCAGAAGGTACCCAGCACACATCCAGTAGCCAGTAGCCACCGAGAGAGAGAGAGGCATCCAAGTGCAACAGGCGCAATCTGTTTCTGTTTTTGCGGCTGCCTTCTAAATACGCGATGAAATATTTATGAGATGCACACCATCTCGTGCTCCGTACTGAGGTTCCAGTGGGTTATCTTCACTGCTACTGGAGCCATCCATTCATAATTGAGGTCCTGTCTGCTGACTGGCGTCCAGGGAACTTCCGCTTTGCGCCACAAATCGATCGATTTAGCAACTCTTAATAATATGCCATTAAGTTTTCATTTCATCACAAAGGAAATTAATTTTTTTTGCACTCAAATTATTCAAATTGTTTTTCGGGATTTTTGCCAGAAATTTAATGCTACAATTAAGCCAAAGCCAAAGCCAAAGCCAAAGCTGGACAGGGGGATCATCTAGACGCCATATTTGGCACACAAAAGCGTCGCCATTAATTACTTTAATCAAAAGAGAGCTTTTTCCTTTTTCTTTTCGAGTTTTCAGCTTTATTTTTGTCTCTGGCTAATCTCTGTGGCACTCTCTCTGTCTCTGGCTGTACCCGTAATTTGCCACAATTAACGACTGATCAGCAATTAAAGTTGCATTACCACAGAGAGCCACAGAGACGGAGAGGCTTAATCGGCACCTGGCGGATCAGCGGATCAGCGGATGATGCCGCAAAAGTGCGTGGATAATAAATACGCCGCTTCATGCGATCCATCAGTTTGGTTGGCCAGCCACGAGTACGGTGGGCCGCTGATTGCCGCTCTCTGGCGGGGACATTGCAGCGTGCCACATCAAAAACGAGTTAAGGCCTCCACCGCACGGCCGCACGGCGGCCACTCGCATTTGGTGGATATTTCGTGGCAGTTTCTAATGATGATGATGGCGCAGAGTAGATGCCTCTGGCACATCCACAACCACTTATGGAGTGCAGGTCAAATGCGGCTCTAAGCAAAGCTTTAAATTCCTATCCTTAAACCACATGTTGCTCCACTTAGGATATTACAAAAATGTACACATCCTTCTAGCCGGCTGGCTGGGCGCGCTGCTTTGCTTACGGGTGTAGTAACTAGTCAAGATTTATGGAATTTAATTTCCTGATGCTGCTTTTTCTGCGCTGCCAGCCATGGCCGTGTGCCGCAGGATGTAAACCAGGATGCAACGGATGCGTGGCCATGTGGAGAGTGACATGTAATATTCGCAGATGCCACAGAGAGTGGGCGAGGCTGCTGTCAGCACATGTGCAGTACTGTGGAGGGAAGTACTGTGGAATATGGAAAATGGAAAACTGCAGAAATGAGGAATGGCTTTCTGTGTGCAGAGGAGGACCTAATAACATTAGAGGCCAACACCAGCAGCCGCAACTGTTACCTAAGCAAGGAGCAGCAGGAGCAGCAACAGTAGCAAGGGCAGGGAGAGAGAGAAAGTGAAAGTGCGCCTAGGGCTGGGTCGGAACGCGATGGCAGGCAAATTTCATGCACCATTGCGTGACGTGGAGGAGGCAAAAGTGTGCCGTCTAGCGGCAGGACACCAATGCTTGTCGTTGTCGTTGTCCTTGCTGTTTTGTTGTCCTCTCTGCCTAACAGCGAATGCCACACGCAGGCGGAGGCTAAGGAGGCTAAGGAGGCAAGGCAGGAGCCCAAAAAGCAAACGAATAATATATGAGTGCACTCACTCAAACTGACTAAATTCCCTCCCATCTGGAGCCACTACTCCCTCCCCCGCAAAAACCGAACCAAACCGAACTGAACCGAAAAATGTTTGCTCTTGATCGATTGCCGTTGAACCGTAGCGGAGGCAACGCACGCGTAACAAATGCAATCCTCCTTAAAAGCAGAAATGTGTCACACGGCGGCAATACACTCCCCTAGCCCCTTGCCCCATGACCCCTTCCCCGTGCACCTCTTCCCACTCTAATGGCTGAATCCTTTCAGTGCAGCTCCTTGGGCTCCGCTTCCTTTTGTTGGTTGTTCTCTTGGTTGTTTTCGATTTTTTTTTTGTTGCCTTTGTCGTCGTCATTGTCGCCATTGTTGATGTATCCTTGCAGATCCTTTTGTTGTTGCTCTCCTGCGTTTTTTTATTGTGTGTAAACTTTTTCTGTTTTTATTTTCCATCTTCTGCTTCAGCTTTTCTGCTCCTTTTCTCCTTTTTCCTTTTTCTGGTTCTTGTTCTTGTTCTTGTTGTGCAGCAAACAAAGATAAATTGGTTAATTTCCCTCACCCTCCCCCACCAGTCAGACATCAATCGATGTTCCTGTCTCTTTCCTGACTCCGCTTGCCATCTCCTTCGCTCTGGTAATGGACTTGAGTGAGCTTACGCATTATTCTATTTCCTTGTCTTACAGTTTTTGCCTTAGTTTCTTTGCGTTCTTTTGTAGCCATTAAAATTGAACAGGACATTGAATTAGTTGGGCAATTGACAGTTCGATGGGAGGGCATCTGAAGCATAAAGATATGGATGAAAATATAATAATAAATAATGAAATAGTACCACTAATTCAAGTGCGGAAAGGAGCAAAGAATACCCAGATATATCTCTCAAGTAAATTCCTAACGTATATTCCACCAGCAAAATTCTCCTCCTTCTATGCCCTCCAAGGTCTTCTTACCTTTTTTGATGCTTTGACTGGCAAATGGGCAAAGTCGCGTCTGTGATAATTAAAAGTCAATGTAGGGCCACACTCTTCAGCTCTCCGGCTGATAAGTATCAATGAGGTGCAACCTGCTAGATGTATTACAATCCATAATCGTTGCCAGCTTTGTTGGCAATTCGTCACTCAGCTCCAGCACGAGCAGCAACCGGAGGCACAGCAATAGGAAGCACAACAAGCGACAGGCAGACAGGCAGACAGACAGACTGAAAGACTGAAAGACACTTCATCAGAGTCGAAGGCCACAAGTGGAATATGGATAACTTTCGGAATAGAAATTCCGAGCTGACAACTGAGGCAGCAAGCAGCCTCATCACATCACATCACATCACATTCAGAGTACTTCAATTTCTACGTCTCCCAATCCCTAAATGAAGTTTTCCTGAAATCAGCTACCGGGGTTCCTGCATCCTCGCTCCTGGATCCTTTTTCCACGTTTCCTAGAACAAAAACGGGGCAAAGAAAAACACGGAAAGCGAAACGAAAACTGAAATACGGCTGCATCATTAAATTTAATATGATACTCATTTAATGAAATTGTTGCCGATTTGTTTTGAAATACACGCGCTGGCTCCCCACTCCCCCAACCCTATCACGGAACCACTCTCCCGCACTCTCGTACTCCTCCACATCCACCTCCTGCTGCTGCTCCTTCGAGTCTGACGCCTCTGCCAATGCGAAACAGTGAGGGAGGTAAGTCCCTGCCCCGGCTCAAGCCACGGCTTCAGCTTCAGTTTTCAGTTCTCCTGCCAAATGCGGGCGGACGGACTGTTGGATGCTTGTGGGCGGGACTGGTGATGGGGCTGGGGCTGGGGCTGTGGCTGGAGTGCAATATTGCGAACATGGCCGGATAATGACGACAACGCCATCGACGTGGCTGGCCTCCGCTGACGACTCGGAAGGAAATATGCACTGGCCGCAGGCTGTGAGGAATAACCACGAGAGAACAAACCAAAAGGGAGAAAAGGACAGTGTACACTGCAACGAATTGTGGAATCGATTGGGAAATAATCTAAATTCTTCTGATTGTTGAGAAAACAGTCTAGATTTGGCATTATTGGTTTTGTCATCAGTTCAGATAATTTTAATCGTATTTTATGAATATTTCATAATTCGAATTTGAAGATTCCTGATGCTAGATTGGTAAACATGATTTCTCCTCCGCTATTTCTCTCAGTGTAATTCCTGGCATCGTAGTTAGTGGCAAAAATCAGTCTAATGACAGCAAAACGTAAAAAGCTCTGAAAGTGTTAAGTGGTTCCTCATTAAACTTTATGTACTGCTCGGTTCCGTCTGTTCTGTTTGGTTCAGACCGTTCCTGGGACCCCGCACCCGCACCCGCACCCGCACCCGAACCCTTCCCAGCTCCTCCTGTAGTTTGTTCTTGTGTGTGGGCGGAGAATGAGGATGGGGATGGCATGGATGAGGCTTAAACGATTGCCCGACCAGCGTCATTAGCACTTTTAACCGCATATTAAATTTAGTAAAGCTCTGATTAATGGCCACGCACTTCATTTTTGTGCATTTGAGCGGCTCCAGGTCTTTCAGGTGGTCCCGCTCCTAACCTTCGGTATTGTATCCCATGTAGTGCCTGTTTGCTACCGAAAATCTTATCTTTCAATGAGTCGCGCAGACAAATGACACGTGATTTTATTTGATTTACTTACATCTGCAGCTCAATTTTCAGTTGACTTTCGGTGTTTCTTCTCTGCTCTGCTCTCCTCTCCTCTCCTCTCTCTCGCTTGCTTTTCTGTTGTTGCCATTGGCCTTTCTTATGGCCAACAGTTACAGATACAGTTTCAGATACAGTTCTCGGTGCTCTTCACCGAATGTCTGCTTCGGTTTGGGCCATTATTCGAAATGATTCGATCATTAGCGACATCGTCATCGGAGCAGTCGTGGCAGTCGTCGGTCTCCGGGACTGGGATTGGGATTGGGATTGGGATTGTTGTGTTCTTTGGGCATTACGGGTAATTACTGGAATGTTGTGACAACATTTCCCTCTGCCTTGTCTTCAAATTACTTAATTTTAATGGCCAGCAATATCGCACAAAAAGATTGAGATGTACGGGGTAGACTCGTACTCATAAGGAAATTTATGTGCACGATGTAGGTGTCTGTTCCCACTCTTTACCGACTGATTATCCCCCCAACAGACATCAACAGTTGGTGGCGTTAATTGAAATCGAATGCACAATCAGTTGTCTTTTGTCTCAAAATGGAGGGTTTTCTTTCATTTAAATTGGATGAGTCGGGATCCAGATGGAGTCATTAAGTTATTTATTCTGAGTTCGGAATTTTTCTCCTATTTGAAATCTCCTAAATATGAAATTCTTCCATCGAACGATCCCTTGTCCACTGATGGAAGAAGTTAATTCTGTGCAAGAAAGCAACAAATTGCAAAGAAAGTGCAAAATGGACACAACCATTAAATCCCTCCTATAATTGAAATATTTGATATAATTTAATAATGTTAGCCATCATAAAGATCATCAAATATAAAGAGTTTATTTGACTTCCTAAATGGTTTCAGAAATATATCAGCACATAATTATCCTCCTATTAGTAGTGAATATTCTCCAACCGTAGGAATTTTTCCCTTTTTGTAGTCAGTAATTTGTATAGAAGAATACCTCTAAAGTCGCTAGATATCCATTTAAATGGCACAAACCACTTGAAATGAGAAAATCCAGAACAGTTTTTCAATTTTTATAAACATTTTTATTATGCATTAAATATCAAATCAAATCACAGATGGCTTTCCATAAAATTAAGCATTTAAATAATTTGTTCATTTAAATTCGCATTTCGATCTCGAATCATTTCGTTTCGTTTCGTCGCACTGGCGGCACCGGCGGCACCGGCGGCAAGTGGTCTCCTCCGCTGCGTCGAAAATCATCCAAAATCGTCGGCAAATGTCTGCCTCAGCGCGCGGCATGGCGCATCTGGGCATCGGCAACAACAGCAACAACAACAACAAACAGCAATTGGAGCTGTCAAAACGGCGGCCATATTGAAAATCATTCAAGTATTTCGAAACTCGAGGGCGGGGCCACACGACGCGCATGCGGGTGCGGGTGCGAGCAGGCCGACAAGTGTATGCCACGCAAGTGAGTGCGTAGAGTGCACCTCTATAGAGCGGCCATGCCTGCCACATTCAGAGGCAACATTATGTTGCCTGTTCCGTTTGCTGCGCGATGCGCATGCGGTGTGCGTGGAAGAAGTACTGCTGTGCCGGTCCGAGCCAGCGACCAGGTCCGGGTCCAGGCACTTCGAAAACCATCGAAAACTTCGATGTCGAAATCGAAACCCTTGCGGCAGTGGCAGCGAGAGAGCGAACCCTAGAAATGGTTCTGTCATGGTATGGGTGTGCTCTCAGGTAGTTTGCGAGTGTATTGGTGCGCTGCGCTGCACTAGTGTGGGTGCGATCTTCGAATGTTCGAACATCGAATTCAGTTTCGACTCAAAACCGGACTTCGATTCGGGTCTCGGAACTGCTGGCTGCTCGCCGCCTGCTGCTTGCTGGTTTTCCAGAACTGGTTTGGTCTTGGGCCAGGTTTACCTGCTGCTCGAGAGTCTCTCTCCATCTCCATCTCCATCTGCAGTTCTCCCTTCTCCCAGCCATAATCATTCCTGGAGCCAGCGACAGCGACAGGGACAGGGACAGCGACAGCCATAACCACTGCATTTGGTTGGGCGGTTGCCCGAATCGCTTTTTGGGAGTTAATATTCTATTAGAGGCTCATTTGTGTGATTGCCAGCGCAGGATATGTGTAATGCTCCTGCTCCAGCATGTGAGCTCCATCCTTGTAATTGCCCGACGATTGTCGGGTTTCAACTTTTTTTTGCACTTTTGCACTCGCCAGGCAATTGAATTGGCAACTGGCAATTGGGCAAACATTTGATTTTGGCCCTTCTCTTGCAGTGTTTAACAACTCAATTGAAGTTTGGTTCTTCGTTTCTTATTATCGCTTCTCTCTCACACACTCATGATTTATGTGCCTCAAGCGGACTGCCTTGGACGCTCAATATCGCCCTGATGGATCACCGATCGATTGATGGATTGTGTGAACCCGGTCCCAGACACAGACACGCACTTGTCCGTCCGCCCGCTCGCTGATACAAACATACATAGATACATATGTACAGATGTATCTCGTAGTCATCATTATTGGCTCGAGTGGATTTCTGACATCTTGCTTTGTTTCCTACAATCATTCTCAGCCAGTTTCCAGCTTGCTTTCGAGTAATTAATGATTTATTTCAGTTTTTTTGAAGTGTTGTCTTAATTCCAGCGAAGTGATTATTGATAGTTTTGCTCTCACTCTATATATCTATCTATCTATCGCTCTCGGGCAAAGTGTGAGATGTTTGCAGTGTAGATACAGTTGCGATTGGCCAAAGAGTCAGATGGTTGTTGCATATTCCCAAATGAAAATGGCGATGTGTTACGGGAAGGTAACAATTCAGTTTTTAAAGAAATTTGATGCTAAAAGGTGAAATTCTTTAGGCGATTGTCTGTTAATCTATTTACTTTTATGCGGGAATAGTTGGTTGTAGTTATATTTAAATTAGGATTCGCTTTTGCTCTGCTTGTCAAACAAAAAGAAAAAATATAAAAACTCATAATAAATTGTGTGTTTAAGGCACCCAAAATGGTACCCATTTATATATAGAACTCAAACAATATGTATGAACAATGTCAGGTTGTTATAACAAATAATTCTATACATAATAATCTACGTAAAAACATTTCTCGCATGACTTTCTCTCATAATAATACAATATTTATCGCTTAATACAAAAATTGATGGATAATTTACATGAAATTGCAAAAGTTGTCTCCCACAGAATTAGGCATCTTGGTAATAACCCATACAACTCATTATCACACCCCAGCGAATATACAATTTGCATATCTAGATACTGCACATATAGATTAGCATACAGATATATTCCACCTCTAGGTAGAAATCTTGGGTTGGGCGTGAGGATTCTATTTGGGGGCAAACAAGGAACCATTTTTAATTAACTTCAGCAGACCGAAAACCAAATAGGAAACTCAGAAAACTTGGCAGAAAATCTTGTGGGAATAGCCATGGAATTGCAATATTTACATTCGCATCCGTGAGTACAAATTGGCAGCTGCTCAAGATCCACGAGACTATTTATGACAACTAGGGATGGGATGAGATGGGATGGGGTTTCGGTTTAGTGTACACTTTATGCAAGATCTTCATTTGAATCCACCTCAAAAATGGCATTAGCAGAGGGAATGTATGTACATACGCTCTCTGTGAATTCTGCTAAAATTATTCATTTCGATTCTGCGACATAAACGTGAGCACAGTCACTCGAATTCACTCGGTTTACAAATGGCCAGCAATTATGCAAACAATGCGAATTCAATTTGTTTGAGCTCCTGACTCGCTCGCTCGAGAGAGATGTGTATAGTATGTCCAATGCGGGTTACAGTGCGGGTGGATTGGAGCAGCTGCCGATCGTGCTGGCTGGGGTGCCTTAGCCTCAGTCTCAGTCTCAGCCTCAGCCTCAGCCTCAGGTGTCTGCTGCGTTGTGGCCATTGGTCAGGGGCTTTGTTAATGCCACTTGATTAATCGCTTATTATGATGTCAGATTAATAAGATCGTTTCATAAATGGAGCTCTCGACTTCGAAAGGCCTGCAAAAGAAACGAAAACTTTAGTTCTTTTTTATTATACAGAAATTGTCATTTTGCGGCTTACCCTCTGACATAATCATTGGCCTAGAGTATGGAGATCATTGTTTTCAACTGCAAAAACAAGAAACATATAATAATTAATACAAATTTTTCTTTGGAATAATAATTCAATGGACAGATTCACTTACTTCAACAAATATTCCAGATATTCAAATAAATAGATAACTGAAATCTCCCAAGAAACCCCCTTGTTTTGTAGAAGCAATAGAGGAGTTAAATTTAAATTTTTAAATACTATATTTTTATTATAAATATTACAAATAAAAACAAAATCTCATTTGTAATTTAATTATAGTTTTTCTTTATGCTTTTCCTGCGTTGCCGCTTTCGCAGCACTTCTCCATCCTTCACCTTCTCCTTTTGCTTCTCTTTGTTTACACTAAAATTTAATTTTTATTTACAACAAATTATTTAGCTTCCACATTTCATTTCATTTCCCTTTCAATTTCGCATAAATGTTTGAGTATATATATTTTTAAATCAACGCATTCGAATTTTGTTTCTTGTGAATTTCTACATTCTATTTTCCAATTATCTTTTCTTTTATTTTTGAATTGAAACTTAGTTTAGTTTCTTACAGAATGAGGCCGAAAGTTACGTATCTGGATTGTGTGGAATTCCCGCCTCGCATGGCTCCATATGGTACCTCCACTGTTTTGACTGGGCTCTGGGCTTTTTTTGTTATTGTTTTTTTTTTTTCTTTTGGGATTTACAAAACGAAACTCTTTCTCTACAAAGTTACATGCTTTTTGCTTAGGTGTGTTTTGTGTTTAATTATATATATCTACATATAAACATATGATGCTTTATATTTTTCCCTTGCTATCCATTCATTTTCCTTTCATTTTGCTTTGGTATATGGATTTCCACAGCTGTGGAAATTGAGTTTGAGTTACGTACATACATTCATATAGTGTGGTTTGTTAGGCGTATATCTATATAGAAATCGTTCTGCATTCAAATGGGACTCTCCCTCTCGTTATCATCCTCTAATATTGGTCTACTTTACATGGGGGTTTTTTTTTTATTAATTTATACATACTCTTTGCTTTGTGTTGTCTTCGTTTCTGTTAACAATATCAATTTCATTTTCATGTTTGCCAATATTCTTCGCGTTTTGTTTTGTTTTTATGCATTTCGGTATACTTTATATCCTTTACGACCTAACTCGAGTTTTATTTTTTGCAAGAACTAAAAAATTGCACAAGAAATTAAAAAGAAAACATACATAAAAACGAAATTAAAAGGTCTCTAAAATATCCATTGGGAGAGACTTCCAAAGGTTCAAAAGTTGCCGAAAATATTGTGTACAAATTTTGTTTGTTTTTTTTATGTTTTTTTGTTTTTGTTTTTATTTTTATAATAGTTTTTATTGTATATGTAAAACGTTTTTGTTTACTTTAAGCAACGTCTTTCCATTGGTTTTGGTATTTCTTTGTCTACCTTTGCAGACCCTCCTCACTTAGGGGCAAAAGATCTGTATTATAGTTTTTCTGTCATCTAATTTATTGTGGGGAAAATGGATTTTGACGCCATTTTGGTGTTATTTTTATACGTTTTCCTTTTCTTTTGTAATATTTATTTTGCGCTAAGATTGCTACAAACATTGATTTAGTTTTAGGGTTTTAAAGGGGTTCTTGGGTTGGGTTTATGGGGGTGTATATATAAGTTAATCGTACAGTTACTTATGACGCATAGAACTAGTGTTATCGTGTATATAGTAGTACGTATATATGCTTCATATATAGATTTATTTTCATATATGTAACTCCTTGCCTTTAGCTTTAGTTGGTATCATGTATAGTATCCATAGGTATATGCATTATATTTAAATATAGCTTATTTAGATCTGAGGTCACATGAGTTGGTTTTGTTTGAGTTTTACGCTTTACTTGTATCTTTTATCTTTACTCTTTATCTTCTATCTCTATCTTTACGGCTATCCTTTCTCCATTTGCAATTCGTGTAAAATTAAATAATAAGTAGAAAATAATAACAATTAACTAAGTTGTAGGTATAGTTTTCTCTTCTATTCTTTTTTCCATTTTCTTTTAGGTTTAGTTTCAACGGATTGGATTTTATAGATTGGATACATGGGGTAGTAGATAGATAGTCCTCTGGGATCGAAGTAAATTCTGTTGTTACGCTCTCCAAAAAAAAACATAAATTGTATTTAGGATAGAAATTCATTTAATAGTGTGTGTGTCTCCGATCTTTCGCTCTCGCTCTGTCTACTGCGGACTATTGGGTGGCGTGATCTCATCGCCCTCGCCTCCCGATCCCGGTTCGCCCTTCGTCTTGTTCTCCTTCTTCCACTTCATGCGGCGATTCTGGAACCAGATCTTAATCTGGCGCTCCGTCAGGCAGAGAGCGTGCGCGATCTCGATCCTTCGCCGACGCGTCAAGTACCGATTGAAATGAAACTCCTTCTCCAGCTCCAAGGTCTGGTAGCGTGTGTACGTCTGCCTGCCACGTTTGCGTTCTGTTGGTTCCAACAAAGAAAATGGAAAAATATTCACAATTAAAATCAATGCAACGCTTCACTGGCCACCAAATTAACAACATCTACTATATTTCTACAGATCCACAATCCAACTACAATGCATACGAGTACGCGTACAACAACAAGAGCAGGGATATATACACATACATAATATACACATTTTTTGTTGCTGTATCTTTTTGTTCTTTTCTGTGCCCCAGAACGAGGGGGAACGGAATCCGAAACCACATGAAGCAAGGCGCTCAGCGCTCGGGCCCAGGCGAAGGCTGATTAAAAGACAACCTTACCGAATTCGGATATTTGTACTTGTCAAAAAAACGAACCAAAGAGGCCCGAGAGATGAGGGGCTGCCCTGCGTCGCGGCGGCCATCCCGATAGGAACTCTGGATTTAATTCTTTAGGTTTTACACTTCCTTCGGGTAGTGGGAATTTGGGAAAGATCTCAGAACTTGACCGAGAAGGTGACTTGGAAGGTGTTACTCTGAATCTTGCAGTAGTGAAACTTGAATTTCTTGGAGTTACGACAAACTCTCATTAAAACTCTCTGCCCTTAAAATTATTCCCCTTTCTGCCTTTATTCCTTGTTAGGGCATCCATCTTTCGTTCTGTTTCAATTCCTGTTTCTCTGTTGGATTAAACCCTGGTGGAGATTTCATGGACATCAAGCGGCGAGCGGACAAGGTAACTAATTATGCCCCGATGCGGTCTCCCCTCCGCCTGTCTGTCTGTCTGTCCCGCCGTCTGTCGGGTATCGCTGTCGGTAAACCAGAGAGGAGATATCATGGCAGTGATTCAGTCAAGTGCAGTTTCACCTTCGAACTTCCCTGCAGCCCTCAATCCACTTCGCCCACCTCACTCTCTCTCTCTCTCTCTGTGTACGGTAGCCAGGGCACAACTGTAAAATAATTCGGCATAATTATGGGAGTTGCCCCCGATCTGTGGCCCCCACGAAAACCACTTGGAAAGCAACCAACCAAATGAGTTCGGCGCCTAATGACACTTACTATAATTATAATTTTGGTAATGACAAAAAAGAGCTACTGCAGGGAGCAGGGAAAAATCATGAAAATGTGTAGTGGTGGGAAGGGAAAAATATGTCAAATATATACGCAGCAAATATTATAATTGTCAATGGCCATTGCCATAGTCTGGACAACCCCTCCCACTGCTCCCCTTCCCCCACTCTTTGAAATGGTTTGGTAGCGTGTGAAGCCATTTTTTTTTTTGTTCGGGGTGGAGTGTAGGTTTTTCCTGAAAATGTTCGACCGGAAATTGAAAGGCGGCCACAGCAGCATTGGCATTGCGGTCAACCCAAAAGACGTTGCCACGCCAAGCGGCAATCAGTGGATAGACTTTTTGGACTGCCTGTTGCCTCCCCCGTTCCCCGCCTAACCATTCCGCCTGGGAGGGGAGCATGGGGCCGGGGACAATGCCTTAACTATTTTTTAATAACATCTTCAGCATTTGTCTTGCTCAACTCGCTCGACCAATGTTTTTTCTTCTTCTTACGAATGTCCATCTCTGGCTCGAGGTCATTACATCATAAGCTCTTTTATATATATATATTTTTTTTATTTTTTTTGCCCCACACCGTCCCCTCCCTCTGTTTTTTGTGCGGCATCCATTAAGGCGCGCGAATCCAAATCGCATAGAACCCGGGGGGGGTGGTGGCGGCCGAGCGGGAGCCTGTGGACCGACACAGCGGTGGTCAGAGCGCGCTGCTACCTTCTTTTAAATGACACGACTGATGCCATGTCTATAACCCGAGGCGTTCGCATTTAATCATCATCAGTTAGACGAGTCGCGGCTGTGGCAGCGGCAAAAAGCTACAGAAAAAAAATCTTGAAAGATTTGCGGCAAAAAGCGTGCGTGGTCATCCCCCGCCACACCCCTTCATCCGAACCACATTGCAGTTGGCGTAGAATCCACGGGGGGAACTCCAAAGCGTATTAGGAGCGGATTAAGAGTGGAATAAATGTGCTGGACTTTCACCCAGATGATGACTAAAAACGAGGGAGGGTTTTTCCATGTGTTACTACGACGAGATACTAAAGAGGAACCTATGGTACACATGGAAAGATCTTGATGGAGCTTTTCCTCGCACTTTTCCTATGAAATAAATTTGTTCTTCATGCTATGCACCACTACCCAAGCCCATTTCCATTTACATCTCCACACCTATTTTGCCCTTCCCCTTTCACGTAACAGAAGAAGCTTTCGCAGATAATTAGCGGTGCACCCCCTCGCTGCACCCTGCCTCCACCATGCTGATGCGGATGGTTGCAAAGGACGGGCATGGCATGCATTGCAAATAAATGATTATTTTAATTGATGAAAACACCTACAAACATGTCTCAGAAGTCTGGATCTATCTGCAGACTATGGGGTGTGGGGGAAGGCGTTCTTTGGCAATTTATGAGCGGGCGCTCTCTGAAATTTGTTTTTAATGATGCCTTTGCACATTTCATGCAGCCATCACTCAGAAACCCAAGAGGAAGAGGAGAAGAAAGAACAGTAGAAGGAGGAGGCAGAAGAGAACACAATGAAGA